TTATTATGTATATATATCGGCGCGCGCTCTTAGCAAAAATGCGGGYTACCTGTGGTGTTACGTCACTATCTCGCTCCTCGCGACTACRTACTAATCTGTGACAAGGTATGAAACACTGGTCACGTGATGGATCGATGTGTGCCCCAGGTAGATGGGACACTTTTTCGGAAAACGAAGATTCGACGGGTAGGCGAACTTTCACCGAAGGTAGGGCGGACAAATGTGGCGCGTGACAAGTAAGGTACGTACACAGCAATACCACTTTCGCGTTTTTAGCACGAATCATGTTTTCTAAACGAGTACAATATATTTTTGGACTTATAATGCTTACTTACAAGAAAGAATGAATTAGCAGTCGCCCTTGATGTGCCTAAACATGAACTGGGATGTGAAGAGTGAACGAAAAGTCAAGTTTGCGAACAAGGACAACAAGATGTTGGATTTAAGTTACTTACGTAACTTATTCAAATATTGCAAGGACAGCAAACTAAATAGTCATTCACAAATGTTGTGGGATGATCTTTTGAATGTTTACACTCTGCCGAATCATGGTACAACTTAAGCTTAATCATTTTGATTAAGATAAACAGATTTTTAGAACAAAATAAGCTTACGAATTTCATATTTTGCAGCTAGTTAGATGAAAACATTTCATTCTTTGAAATAATTAAGGTTATTTTGCACACTGTTAGTCTTTGTACTTTATTGTCATGAATGACAATGAAGTTTTTTTTTAACTGTATACTATTTTTATCTGTCCCTCCTACCTTTTAACTTAGTATGTGCTGCTTCTTTACCGGTATTTGGATTTCTGTCAAGTGTGTTTTAATGTGTAAACTCTACTGACTGAGATAAAATCAATTTTGTGGTAATAAAATATAGTATTTTAAAAAGCAACATTCATTTTCTCTTTTTTAACTCTCCGAATATACTATAAGTGTAGTTACTTAGTGTCATCAGYCATTCAATTTGAAACAAAAGAGAACAGTCGAATTTGACTCTATTGGGCGATGGTGGTCACAAGTTAAATTCATGACAAAATAGTAGACATGCTCCTCAGATAGCAGGAACTATTACTATAAGGGCTAAGAATCTAAAATACTTATCTAAAAAAGTTACAAATTTTTTAGGTGAACATGAATTGTGATAAAATTGAATATATATACATTCCCTGCTCTTCCTCAAGTGCAAATATTGAGTGATGCTGCTAGGAAACTTTTGTCTCTGGAAATTATGTTTGAACTCATTTCAAGAGTCTCTTAAATGTAAGACTTAAAAGTAGTCAAGGAG